CCCACCATCCCTCTCACACACAAAATGTGCTACATCAATCAGAACAGTATAATCAAGTTCCCTCCTGACCACTACTGCATTGTGGCCCACTAGATGGCGCTGACAATCATAGGAAAATGAATGCTATGAAAACGGAAAATTGGTCCAGAATGTGTCAAGGATGGGCGAAATGCTTTCACACTCATCCAACAAATTATGTCTGTGGCCCCCTCAGTGTTTGTGGCGCCCGTTTCCCCCACACCCTGCCATACACACATGAATACAACCATGATTATAAACCCCGGCCACCTCCCCCCAGGATCTACCCTCTGACCCCAGTGACCTCAGTCAACCAAATGAATCTGTACAAATATGGTGACATCCTGATTACAATACATAATACATATAGTCCTTTACATACAGCCGTGTATGTCCACCCCAATCACACGGAATTACCCCCCCCCCCCATCTATGGATGAAGTTATCAGCCTCACTGTACAGGGAGATCCAGTAATTAGTGATGTATATCCAACCCAATCTCCACTCCTCCAGAATAAAGTGGGCGTGGCCTCTTTACACCTCCGCTTATTGGTCTATGGATTGGAACAAAAACAAATCATCACCAGTGACAGATGGATATTGGTTTTTTGGGGGCAAACAAGGCTTTCCTTTAGGGGATCTGCTCCATGATTTATTGTTGATAGGCATTTTAAAAGGCACAAATAGGGACAAAAAATAAATCTTGCAGTATAACCAGAGATGGAAATACAAAACACACATGAAAGGAATGATTCAACGTTAAAGCTGAACCCCGGACATAAAAGGTCTTTTCCTCGTGCAATGTCCCCCTCCGAACCCCCCCCCCGCTGTAAGGCCTCATGCCACCAGCACAGAACATAACTAAAGGCCTTTACCTACCTCTTGCTTCAATCCTTCCATGCCGGCATCTTCCAGGTTCTGGTCTTGGGCCATCTTGATTGGCCGATGTAGGATGATGTCACTCCTGTGCATGCGCATCCTGAGACACAGGCACTGGGGTCTTTGGTTTGGAAATCCCCACCCAAAACACCTACCTGCATGGAGTTTGAAGGCTCTCTCCCTGTGCTTCCATGGGTTTCCCTCGGTGCTACCCAGTTTCCTCCATGCTGGTAGGTTCATTGGCCCGCCTGTTTTCAAACTAAAGTCCACAATACTATATCTCTGCTTCAACAGTCTGACGCCTGGGAGGTCCCGACAAAACACCCGTGCCAGCTTTCCAACCTCCTGGAATTTCCTGTGGTGCCGGTCTTCAGCCACCTTGATGGGCCGGTGCGGGATGACGTCATTCTCACGTATGTGCAGGAAGGGCAGTCCTCCCAGCCACACTGGCACTGTCCAGAATGAAAACTGAGCTGTGTATTCAGAGAGGAGGTTCCTGGACCCCATTTACACGCATGTACGCAAATTCATTGCAGGGGCTAGAATAATGGAATATTCGGGCCAGGAGGATACGTTTACACTCCTACCGCTACACGCCCGTATTGCAGGCCATAGATGGGTCGAAAATCGGCCGTGTTTTCTTTTAAAAAAATAAAAAAACGGTCTTCACCCCCCGACGCTTACCACCAATGGTAAAAAAAACGGCCGATTTTTCATCCCATCTACAGCCGGCAAAAATCACCCCCCCCCCCTGCAGAGAGCTCTGCTATTTCTTTGACAGTTCCTTGACATTTACAGAGGTTGCAAACATTGTATCTATTTGTAATCCATTTAGGATACAGATGTTTTTATTCGGAAACAAATAGATACAATGTTGCACACCTCTGTAAATGTCAACACAACTGTCAAAAGAAATAGCGGAGCTCCTCTGCAGGGACACTTTTTGTCAGACTGGAATTCCTCTTTATTTTTCATTCTTCTTCTTCCCCCCCTTCATCATCATCCTCCTCTTCTTCCTTCTTCTTCATCATCCCTCCTCTTCTTCTTCTTCTACTTCTTCATCATCATCCATCCTCCCTTCTTCTTCTTCTTCTTCTACTTCTTCATCATCCCCTATCCCACTTCTTCCATCAACCCATCTCCCACATCCTAAACTTCATCCCCACCCCATCCACTACTTCCATCATCATCATCATCCTCTTCTTCTTCATCCCATCATCCTCTCATCCTACTTCTTCATCATCATCCCCTTCTTCCCCTTCTTCACTTCTTCATCATCCTCCTCTCTTCTTCTTTCTACTACCCTTCATCATCATCCCACTTCCATCCCCTACTTCTTCATCATCCCTCCTATCTTCTTCTTCTTCATCTTCTACCCCCCCTTTCATCATACATCCTCAAGCCCCCCCCTTCATCGTCTTCTACCTCCCATCCCCACCCCTTCACTTTTTCTTCATTCTTCCTTCTTCAACTTCTACTTCTCATCATCACCCTCTTCCACTTCTACTTCTTCAATCATCATCCTCTTCTTCCCCCCACCTTCACTTCATCATCATTCCCTCCCCTCTTCTTCTACCCCTTTTATTTCATCAATCCATCAAATCCCCTCTCTTTCTTCATCATCCCATCCTCTTCTTCTTCTACTTCTTCAATCATCATCATCCTCTTCTTCATCTTCTTCTACCTAAATCTTCATCATCATCCACCTCTTCTTCTTCTACTACTTCTTCATCATCATCCTCTTCTTCATCGTCTTCTACTTCTTCATCATCATCCCTCTTCTTCTTCTTCTTCTTCTACTATTTCTTCATCATCATCCTATTCTTCATCGTCTTCTACTTCTTCTTCATCATCCTCCATCTTCTTCTTTCTTCTTCTTCTTCTACTTCTTCATCATCATCCTCTTCTTCTTCTTCTTCTTCTTCTTCTTTTTCTTCATCATCATCATCCTCATCTTCTTCTTCTTCTTCATCATCATCCTCTTCTTCTTCTTCTTTTCATCATCCTCCTCCTCCTCTTCTTCTTCTTTTTCATCATCCATCATCATCACATCATCCTCTTCTTCTTCTTTTTTCATCATCATCATCATCACATCATCATCCTCATCCTCTTCTTCTTCATCATCAATCCTCTTCTTCTTCTACTTCTTCATCATCATCATCCTCTTCTTTTTCTTCTTCTTCATCATCATCATCATCCTCTTCTTTTTCTTCATCATCATCATCCTCTTCTTCTCTTTTTCTTCTTCTTCATCATCATCATCATCATCATCCTCTTCTTCTTCATCATCATCATCCTTTTCTTCTTCTTCTTTTTCTTCATCATCCTCATCTTCTTCTTCATCATCATCCTCTTCTTCATCTTCCTTCTACTTCTTCATCATCATCCTCTCTTCTTCTTCTACTTCTTCTTCATCATCATCCTCTTCTTCCTTCTTCTTCTTTTTTTATCATCATCATCATCATCCTTGTAGGGAAATATGCGCTAGGGCTATTGCTTCAGATATACCATTTTTGTATTCATTATGCTTGCATTGTGATTAGACTTTTAGAGTGATGCTTTAAGTAGATGAAATTATTATGTCTCAAGTAAATGTTATAAGAACTGTCAGCATTATTTTAGAGCTTATATGGAAAATTTTAAATGGTATATTTATGTAACAAGTACAACCACAAAGTGTTACATGAAGAACGCTAGACTGCAGGTGTCTGCAAAACATCGTACAAAACATAGATAGATGTTCAGATAAGAGATCTGGGGACACAGCCAACAATGGCAGAATGTACTGACTGAGGGTAACATTTCAACAGTTTAAGTAAAAAAGGTGCACCTTGTCTGGTATCTGGGTAGAAGGTAAAGGTACGCTTTACTATTGGATGATTTGAGTTTGTCTTACTATTGGATAATTTGGGTTTTGTGGTTTTTGCCTTTATAAGCTGTAATGTACGTAATAAACTTTGCAATCTTCCTGTATCCTACTTGAGTGTTGGTTATGTTGATTGCCCGATCGCGATGGAGCCCGTGCCACACCCAGACGCTGCGCAGCACAAAGAAAACTATAGGAATAAGAATATAAGGATTCCAGGAAAGGGGGAATTCCTAACAATCCTCATCTTCTTTTTCTTCTTCATTATCATCCTCCTCTTCTTCTTCATCAACATCATCATCCTTTTCTTCTTCATCATCATCCTCTTCTTCTTCTTTCTTTTTCACCATCATCATCATCATCATCATCATCATCATCATCATCCTCTTCTTCTTCATCATCATCATCCTCTTCTTCTTCTTCTACTTCTTCATCATCATCCTCTTCTTCTTTTTCTTCTTCATCATCATCATCCTCTTCTTCTTCTTCTTTTTCTTCATCATCATCCTCTTCTTCTTCTGCTTTTTTCTTCATCATCGTCATCCTCTTCTTCTTCTTCATCATCATCCTCTTCTTTTTCTTCATCATCATCATCCTCATCTTCTCCTTCTTCATCATCATCCTCCTCTTCTTCTTCGTTTTCATCATCATCATCATCCTCTTCTTCTTCTTTTTCATCATCATCATCATCATCATCATCATCCTCTTCTTCTTCTTTTTCATCATCATCATCATCATCATAATCATCCTCTTCTTCTTCTTCGTCATCATCATCCTCTTCTTCTTCTTCTTCTTCTTCTTCTTCTACTTCTTCATCATCATCATCCTCTTCTTTTTCTTCTTCTTCTTCTTCGTCATCATCATCCTCTCTTCTTCTTCTTCTTCTTCTACTTCTTCGTCATCATCATCATCCTCTTCTTCGTCATCATCATCCTCTTCTTCTTCTACTACTTCTTCATCATCATCATCCTCTTCTTTTTCTTCTTTTTCTTCTTCTTCGTCATCATCATCCTCTTCTTCTTCTACTTCTTCGTCATCATCATCATCCTCTTCTTCTTTTTCTTCTTCTTCATCATCATCATCCTCTTCTTCTTTTTTCTTCATCATCATCCTCTTCTTCTTCTGCTTTTTCTTCATCATCATCATCCTCTTCTTCTTCATCATCATCCTCTTCTTCTTCTTCATCCTCTTCTTCTTCCTCTTCTTCTTTTTCTTCTTTTTGTCTTCCTTTTGCAGGTCACTGCTCATGCGCAGATTTTTTATCGGTAAAAAATCGGCCGATTAGCCCATTATTGCCGCAAAAATCGGCCGATCGGCGGATTTTTTTCCAACTTTCCCAATTAAAAAAAACGGCCAAAATCCCGAAAAACGGCCGAACAAATAGCCCACTAACGATCCGAAAATCGGCCGATTTCATTTTCTGCCGAAAAATCGGCCGATTTTCGACCCATCTATGGCCTGCATATGACTGTATAGACGCCTAGAGGTCCCGCCTACAGAGGAGGAGCTTAATACAAATATGCTGCACTACAAACAACAAAATGCACAATTCCTATATATATATATATATATATAAAACAGTGATGTCACAAACAGAAATAAAGTGACTCACAAAAATGTTTAAATTAATGAGATTAATTGTCCAAAAATATATTTGGTTAAAGTCCAATCATTGAAGTGTTCTCCTGTGACCCCTCCTTGAAATAACGGCCACCATGTGTATCTGTCCCAGAAATCCAGTGCAAGAAATCCTCCCCCATATATCTGCTCACCTCCAGCAGTGTGACCTCACAGTATACAATGTTTTGGTCTAACTGCACTTTTGCTCCCAAATGTATGGACTCTGAGGATCAAATTGCTGAAAATTATCTCCAAACGATGTTCCCTCCAGATGACCCCCTCAGGCTCAGCCGTATTCCTCATAAACAGAAGATCAAAATAGTGCTTTACCCTTTAAAACTTTTCTTTACACATAAAACATAAGAAATGCCCTCACTTTCCGGAGGTCCATATCTGCACCATGTATGGTGTACATCCAGTAATGTACTAATTGGGCACAAGGTGGCAGTATCATCCCCGACAGTATCAAACAGTCCCGGAGGTCCATATCTGCACCGTGTATGGTGAACATCCAGTAATGTACTAATTGGGCACAAGGTGGCAGTATCATCCCCGACAGTATCAAACAGTCCCGGAGGTCCATATCTGCACCGTGTATGGTGAACATCCAGTAATGTACTAATTGGGCACAAGGTGGCAGTATCATCCCCGACAGTATCAAACAGTCCCGGAGGTCCATATCTGCACCGTGTATGGTGAACATCCAGTAATGTACTAATTGGGCACAAGGTGGCAGTATCATCCCTGACAGTATCAAACAGTCCCGGAGGTCCATATCTGCACCATGTATGGTGAACATCCAGCAATGTACTAATTGGGCACAAGGTGGCAGTATCATCCCTGACAGTATCAAACAGTCCCGGAGGTCCATATCTGCACCATGTATGGTGAACATCCAGTAATGTACTAATTGGGCACAAGGTGGCGGTATCATCCCCGACAGTATCAAACAGTCCTGGAGGTCCATATCTGCACCATGTATGGTGAACATCCAGTAATGTACTAATTGGGCACAAGGTGGCAGTATCATCCCCGGCTCCAAACACAGTATATTGCAGGGCAATGCAGGGGCCCCATGTGTAACTGCAATTGTCTACAACTAGGAAAATCCTGGAGCTGCGTATGGACTACTACCACCACTATTCCCATGAATGACCTTTTCCCATTAGTGACCTTATAGAGCCAGGACTGTTTGATACTGTCGGGGATGATACTGCCATCTTGTGCCCAATTAGTACATTGCTGGATGTTCACCATACATGGTGCAGATATGGACCTCCGGGACTGTTTGATACTGTCAGGGATGATACTGCCACCTTGTGCCCAATTAGTACATTACTGGATGTTCACCATACATGGTGCAGATATGGACCTCCGGAAAGTGAGCGCATTTCTTATGTTTTATGTGCAAATAAACGTTTTAAAGGGTAAAGCACTATTTTGAGCTGCTGTTTATGAGGAATACGGCTGAGCCTGAGGGGGTCATCTGGAGGGAACATCGTTTGGAGATAATTTTCAGCAATTTGATCCTCAGAGTCCATACATTTGGGAGCAAAAGTGCAGTTAGACCAAAACATTGTATAATGTGAGGTCACACTGCTGGAGGCGGGCAGATATATGGGGGAGGATTTCTTGCACTGGATTTCTGGGACAGATACACATGGTGGCCGTTATTTCAAGGAGGGGTCACAGGAGAACACTTCAATGATTGGACTTTAACCAAATATATTTTTTGGACAATTAATCTCATTAATTTAAACATTTTTGTGAGTCACTTTATTTCTGTTTGTGACATCACTGTTTTTATATATATATATATTTTTTTTTTAGGGATTGTGCATTTTGTTCTTTATTTTTAATATTTTTATAATAACTTTTTATTATTATTATTAATTATGCTTCTATTGGTGGTGTCAGTGGGAGGAATATTGCCCCATCATTGGTGTCAGTGGAGGAATAGTGCCCATCATTGGTGTTAGTGGGAGGAATAGTGCCCCATCATTGGTGTCATGTTGGAGGAATAGCGCCCCATCATCGGTGTCAGTGGGAGGAATAGTGCCCCATCATTGGTGTCAGTGGGAGGAATAGTGCTCCATCATTGGTGTCAGTGGGAGGAATAGTGCCCCATCATTGGTATCAGTGGGAGGAATAGTGCTCCATCATTGGTGTCAGTGGGAGGAATAGTGCTCCATCATTGGTGTTAGTGGGAGGAATAGTGCCCCATCATTGGTGTCATGTTGGAGGAATAGCGCCCCATCATCGGTGTCAGTGGGAGGAATAGTGCCCCATCATTGGTGTCAGTGGGAGGAATAGTGCTCCATCATTGGTGTCAGTGGGAGGAATAGTGCCCCATCATTGGTATCAGTGGGGAAGAATAGTGCTCCATCATTGGTGTCAGTGGGAGGAATAGTGCTCCATCATTGGTGTCAGTGGGAGGAATAGTGCCCCATCATTGGTATCAGTGGGAGGAATAGTGCCCCATCATTGGTGTCAGTGGGAGGAATAGCGCCCCATCATCGGTGTCAGTGGGAGGAATAGTGCCCCATCATTGGTGTCAGTGGGAGGAATAGTGCTCCATCATTGGTGTCAGTGGGAGTAATAGTGCCCCATCATTGGTATCAGTGGGAGGAATAGTGCTCCATCATTGGTGTCAGTGGGAGGAATAGAGCCCCATCATTGGTGTCAGTGGGAGGAATAGTGCCCCATCATTGGTGTCAGTGGGAGGAATAGTGCCCCATCATTGGTGTCAGTGGGAGGAATAGTGCCCCATCATTGGTGTCAGTGGGAGGAATAGTGTCCCATCATTGGTATCAGTGGGAGGAATAGTGCTCCATCATTGGTGTTCAGTGGGAGGAATAGTGCCCCATCATTGGTGTCAGTGGGAGGAATAGTGTCCCATCATTGGTGTCAGTGGGAGGAATAGTGCCCCATCATTGGTGTCAGTGGGAGGAATAGTGTCAGTGTGGGAGGAATAGTGTCCCATCATTGGTATCAGTGGGAGGAATAGTGCCCCATCATAGGTATCAGTGGAGGAATAGTGCCCCATCATTGGTGTTAGTGGGAGGAATATTGCCCCATCATTGGTATCAGTGGGAGGAATAGTGCTCCATTACTGGTGTCATTGGCAAGAATTATACCCCCATTTTTGGTGTCAGTAGGAGGAATAATGCCCAAGGGTCGGATAAAAACAAGCAAAGGGGCCACATTTGGCCCCCAGGCCGCAGTTTGGAGACCAGTGGTATATCCCATACCTGTGGGATCCCTCTACAAGCTGGAAATCACTGTATCTCCACTAGCTTCCGGGTTCAGTGCCAAGCAACTGTAATGGCTGCATTAGGAACACAGGAGGTCAGCTGATGGGCACTGGTGCCGTTCAGAGATCCAAATGAATGCAAAAACATTCTCTGATTGGACAGGGTGGTGTGATGACATCAAGATCATCATCTCAAAATATGACCCATGTGACCATATTAGGTCAATGATGTCACCAGCATCCCTCTCTTACGTGCGGCTAGGGGTGGGGAATTCCCTGGTCCCAGCTGATTGGGCCAGCAGCCTGTTATGTGACAGTTGGTCCGAACGTTCGCTCATCAATTATCCAACCACAGCTGAGCTCTGCTCCTCTTGCATTGTTTCCCGCTCTACCAGGTAAAGAGCACAGCTGCACCAATCACTATACTATGTGAGCAAACAGCGGAGCAGGGGGCACTAGTCCGACACCCGGCACACACCGCCATTGTAACATCCGATTATTGCCGGCTTTTCTCTTATATTACTGCCACAAATCTGCTTTGTCATGTTTGTTTTTAAAGATACAATTTTGAGGAAAAATAAAATGGATCGCTTACCCACACACACAAAGAAAAAATATTAAACACAACGATGTTGAAATGTAGGCGATGGTACAACTCCATCACACACGCAGTGCAATTGTATAACACAGGAGACCTTCCCCCTCATCTAAATATTCATGTAAAGCGGAGTAGGGAAGGGATAAAACCTCAGCAGGGCTGAGCTAGCAATAGTCACATCCAACCAGAAATTGTTCTGTAATGTTGAAGATGCTTCGTAGCTTCTCTAAGCCACTTCTTTGTTTCTAATGAGTGTCAGGAAGATACCCCAAACATTCATATCCACACAGGGAGGCACCGGGCACCTTCATCCATCCACTGTGGAATGTGTCCAGGCAGATGTTGATTGTCCAGGTACAAAAACGGGAGGTATGAGGTATGAAGGTTGTGGAAGCACCAAGTTCTAATGACATAATCCCATCCCTGGGGTCAGGGAATCTGCACAGGTGGTAATCCTTCCATTTATATGGCTGAAGGTGTGTGAATTGTCAGTCTGGAGGTATGTTCCTGACAATCATTAAAACTGATGAAGAGGATCCCTATTGGGAAAAATACCCTGAAAAAAAGAAAAGCCGATGGATCTGTGAAGGTTCTCATGTGTCCATGTCATAGGTTATCTAGCAGTAGTTGGTCACATTCATCTAGCCTTGTTCTGTAATGTTGAAGACTTTAATAGCCTCTCTCCAACTTTCATCAGTTCTAATGAGTGTCAGGAAGATACCCCAACATTTATATCCACACAGGGAGCACCGACACCTTCATCCCAACCACCACGGAATCTGTAGATGTTCATTGTCCAAGTACACAATGGGAGTTATGAAGGGTGTGGTACCACCCTATTCTAATTACAAAATTCCATCCTTGGGGTCAGGGAATCTGCATAGGTGGTTATCCTTCGGTTTACATGGCTGAAGGTGTGAATTGTCAAATCATCAGGGTAAGATATTAAAACGGCATTAATCGTGGCGCTGAAGGCAGGACAGTTCAGCTCACCCCTAGTTCAGAACAGACTTACTGACTCAGACAGTCAGACCAGATGAGGAGGACAGAGGTGAGAGCAGAAGAAAATATTATTATTATTATACAGTATTTATAAAGCGCCGATAGT